CACCTGATGCCACAAGCCATGCATGAAATTTAGCTTCATTAGCTTCCAAGTATATAAAAACACAGTTAGCTATTGCTTAACATAATGGAGTACCCAATTAATTGCATTCCCCCCCCCCCGCACTTTACTTGTGGGTGAGATAAGCAAATTGTAAGCAAATAAACTAAAAATTGGAACTTCCTTTTTAAGATAAAAGCAAAAACAAATAAAACCTCCCCATGGATGATCTGGATTACTATAAACAGGCCAACCTCAATTTAGAATGATTCAACTTTCAGAACATGTCCAGAAACCAGTGCAAGTCAGGGATTTCCTATATATCTACAGTTTTAATATTCTTCAGCAATCACTGACAGACACAATTAATAATCTCCCCTCAAAATTCCATTCCCAAGCAAAATGAAAATACATCCACAGAAAAGCTTGAATACAAATATTACAGCAGCATTATTCACAACAGCCAAAAAATGGATATAACCCAAATACCCTTCAACTAATAAAAGGATGAACATGGTATATTACATAGAATGGAATATTATTCAGCCACCAAAAAGAATTATATGTGCTACTGATACCTGCTACAACATAGACAATGACCCTTGCAAACATTATGCTAAGTCAAAAAAACCAGTCACAAAGAACCACATATTATTACATGGTATGTCCAGAATAGGTTAATTCATTAAGACACAAAATACACCAGCGGTTTCCAGGGGATAGTGGAGCTAGGGTGAATGGAGAGTGATCACTAACGAGCATGGGGTTTCTTTTCAAGGCAATGTTCTAAAATTATAGTGGTGATGGTTGTACAATTTTGTGAATATACATTGAATTGAACACTTTCAGTGGGTAAATTATATGGTACATGCATACCTTGTTTTATTGCTCTTTGCTATATTGTGCTTTGCTATATTGAGTGCTTTGCATTTCTTACAAACTGACGGTTTGTGGCAACTCTGTATTGAGCAAGTCTACTGGAACCATTTTTCCAACTGCATGAGCTTACTTCATGTCTCTGTATCACATTTTAGTAATGCTTCCAATATTTCAAACTTCTCATTATTATTGTATTCATTATAGTGATCTGTAATCAGTGATCTTTGATGTTACTATTGTAATTGTTTTGAGACGCCATGAAACACATCCACATAAGATGGCAAATTTAATTGATAAATGTGTATGTTCTGACTGCTCCACTGACCAAAACTGTTCCTCCATCTCTCTCCCTCTCTACTCCCTGAGACACGACAATATTGAAATTAGGCCAACTAATAACTCTACAAAAGGTATTCAAGTGAAAGGAAAAGTCCCATGTCTCTCATTTTAAATCAAAAGCTAGAAACGATTAAGCTTAGTGAGGAAGGCACGCTGAAAGCTGAAATAGGCCAAAAAAAGCTAGGCTGCTTGGGCCAGTTAGACAAGTTGTGAACACAAAGGAAAAGTTCTTAAAGGAAATTAAAAGCGCTACTCGAGTGAACACAAGAAAGATGACAAAGCGAAGCAGCCTCTTGCTGAAATGTAGAAAATGGTGGTCTGGAACCAAACTCATAATGTCTTTGAGGTATGCTCCCATATGAATCATTTCTCAATTATATGTCTTAAGCATTTTAGTGTCATCTTGTAAAAAAAACCGTAAGATTCTATTTTCCTGAATTAGTAAATTCGTTAAAAATTTTTGCCGCTTTTACCAAAAAGTTATTTCACTTTTATTTTTCTGCTTTTCCTTTTGTTAAATACTCACATTGTTTTAAAAGTTTTATTGAAGTATAACTACCATGAAATTCACTAGTTTTTTTTTTTTTGAGACAAGAGTCTCACTCTGTTGCCCAAGGCAGAGTGCCGTGGCGTCAGCCTAGCTCACAGCAACCTCAAACTCCTGGGCTCAAGCAATCCTCCTGCCTCAGCCTCCCGAGTAGCTGGGACTACAATACAAGCATGCACCACCACGCCCAGCTAATTTTTTCTATATATATTTTTAGTTGTCCAGCTAATTTCTTTATATTTTTAGTAGAGACAGGGTGTCACTCTTGATCAGGCTGGTCTTGAACTCCTGAGCTCAAACAATCCACCCGTCTCGGCCTCCCAGAGTGCTAGGATTACAGGCGTGAGCCACCGTGCCCGGCCCACTGGTTTTAATTATACAGATGTTTTAATAAACATACATAGCTATGTGTGTAATCACCGTAATCCAGTTTGAGAGCAATTCTAGCACCCTAAAAAGTCCTCTGTGCCTATCTGCAGTAAATCCCTGCTCACACCTATAGAACCAGGCCACCATTGATTTGCTTTTGTCTCTGAAGTTTTGCCTTTTTTAGAAATTTCGAAGAACAGAAGCATTCAATTTATAGTCTTATGTATCTAGCTTCTTTCAGTTAGCATAATGTTTCTGAAGTCATCCATTTGAATATCAGCAATTCTTTTTTTTTTTTTTTGCTGAGTAGATAAACACACTGTGTTTATCCATTTACCAGTTGATGGACATTGGAACTGTTCAGTTTTTAGCTATCATGAGTAATATTGCTGTAAACATTCACATAGGAGTCTATGTGCACATACACATATTCATTTCTATCGGGTAGATACCTAGCAGTGAATTTGCTAAGTCATACGGACACATGTTTAACTTCTTAAGAAACTGTCAAACTTTTCAAAAGTGTCCATACCATTTTATATACATACATACATTCCTACCAGCAATGTATGAAGTTTTCAGTTTCTTCACATCTCGTCAATACTGAAGACAATCCTTTTTTATTTTAGCCAATTTGGAGGGTACCTTAGGGGTATTTCACTGTGGTGTTAATGTCTAATGACAGTAAGCATCTTTTTATATGCTTATTTCCCACCCATATATCTTCTTTAGGGAAATCTGTCCAAATCTTTTGCCCTTTTAGAAAACTAGGTTATTTGTCTCCTTATGACTGAGTTGTCATTCTCTGTATATTCTGAATTCAAATCCTTAATTATACAAATGTTCTGGAAATATTTTCTCCAAATCCATGGCTTGTCTTCTCATTTTCCAAATAGTGTCTTTTGAAGTAAAAGGTTTATAATTTTGATGACGTCCGTTTTACCAACTTTTGTTAACAGATCATGTTTTTAGTGTTATATCTAAGAAATCCTTGCCTAATCCAAGGTCATGAAGAGTTACGCCTGTGTTTTGAGTTTTACAGTTTTAGCTCTTATCTTTAGGTCATTGCTCTATATTTTCTTCTAGAAGTTTTACAGTTTTATATTTTACATTTAAATCTATGAACCACTTTTGTGTATAATGTGAAGTAAGGGTCTAGGTGTCCTTTTTTAAGAATAGGGATATCCAATTGTTCCAGCACCATTTGTTGAAAATTTAATCCATTTTTCTGATGTATCACCTTAGAAACTTTGTCAATAATCAATCTACCATATACACCAGAATTTATTTCTTTACTTTATTCTATCCTATTGATCTATTTGACTGTAACTATAGCTTTACAGCTATAGCTTTGAAGTCAGATACTTTAAATCCCTTTGTTCTTTTTCAATAATTAAAAATTGTTTTAGTTATTCTAGCTCCTTTAAGTATAAATTTTAGAATTAGCTTCTCGATTTTAACAAAAAAAACTTACTGGGATTTTGATAGAGATTGTACTCAATCTATAGATTATCAATTTGGGTCTTCCAATCCATAAAAATGATGCATCTCTTCACTTATTGGGGTCATCCTTAATTTCTCTCTGTAATGTTTTATGGTTTTCAGTATATAGAAATACTTATTTTAAAACACCAATGATAAATTTCTTACTTAAGCTTTAAATATAGAATCAAATTATAATAGCAAACCTTGCAAATGTTATTTTAAAAAATCTTCCTGACACAGTTTGAAGTTTACCAAACCTCTCATTCAACAGTGGGACAAACAATGAACAATGAATAGTAAAGTAATCTTGTAAAGTGTTAAGGGTTATAAATCATTCATAAAATTGAGCAGGAAAAAAATTAACTCATCTCCAAGAACGTACTCACCTTGACTGAAATCCTCACAAATTTTTTGGTAACAGAAACTACTCAGTCTGGTTTTTCTTCCCTAACTCCTATCAAACCCAAGAAAAGGGAGTCATATCCCCATGCACAATATATTTATATAAATAAAACTTAGTCCTGGAGACACAATGAAGCACATCATCTTTAGTCTTTTCTGTCTCAATTTTTAGAGCATGATTTTTGTCTCCAATTTTAAGTGTATAAGCCTTCATGGAAGCATATCTGTCAATTAAAATGGAGTTGAGATTCTATCGAAGGTTCAAGTCATATAAAATTACTTTTTAAAAAAAGTTGAAAAGTATGACTAATAACAAAGACGTTTCTCTTTTAAAATAAAACATTTTGCACATTCATACCAGGAGCCATGTACAAGAGAGCTTATAATTACATTATATATTATAGCAAAAGATACAAACTATCTAAATGCCCATTGACAAGAGTAGATGGCATAAATTATATTCGCATCACTATATATTGTATTATAGTGAAAATGAACTATAGCTACAGGCAATAACTTGATGAATATTATAAATGTAAAGTTGAGAGGGCAGAGAAAAGCAAGTTCCAGAAGACAATTAGTAGTATGATTGTAAGAAAAACCAAATATAATGTTTGGGCACACATACATTAATAAAAACTAATTTAAAGAGGCAAAGTAATGACCAACACAAAATTCAAAAGAGTAGTTTCAGGAGAAAGAGAGCGGGAGGAAGCAAGAGGAGGCAGGAAAATGGAATATCTGAGAAACATGTAAATAAATGCAAGTTATTAGTAATGTTCTAGTTCTTGGGTTGAGTGGAGGGTTCATATGTTTTATAACTTACATATACATTATCTAGTTCTTTTCTAAGTATCAATTGTTAAAATATTTTTAAAAACACAACTAAAAACTATTTTAAAAAAATAACCATTATAAAACATTTTCCAGAATCTTACTAGCAAACACAGAATGTACTTCAAATTTTAAAAAAAGTTTTTACCTTTGTTTCTGCTCAACTGCTTTGTCCAAGTGCTGAAAGATATCCTGAAACAGGGTGCAGCTGGATCGACTATTAATAGTATATCCATAGCCTCTTTTCCAATATTGTTTCAGATCATTTAAATATTCTAACACCTAAAAATAAAAATTTCAAAAATCATTTTAATATATTTTCATCACTGTAACAGATTCCCTGATTTAATGATTCTCTCAGAAAAGTTTACATTGTTTAATGATCATTCTGCATAAAATACAGTTTACATCTGTCTTTTCTTGCATATAAGAGCTGTCCAAAGGTCCATGACACGGAGATTTATCACAAATATGGATCAAGGGAATGTAGAGGCTGGTGTGCAAGAGCAAGTTAGTAAGTGCTCACAGCCAAGAATCCTGACAGTTCAGGAGAGTGAGGTAAGGACATGTGCTCACCTCCCCTTTCTTCTAAAATTATATTAAGATGATAGCAAAGATACATAGGGAAGAAAAAAGAGACATACACAGAAGAATATTTCTTACAGCACAGAAAGATACCAACAGCAGATCAGAAATTTTTAGGAATTTTGAAAAGGTAGAAAACAAATAGAAAATGAATTACTTTGGTTCATGTGTAAGTTTGGCAAAAATAATAAAAGTGCACCAAGGATATGGGAAAACGGGTGCTGCTGGAAGGCATGTATATTGGTATAGATGTTCTAGAAAGCAAAGTGGCAAAATCCATGAAAACACACATACTCTATGACCCATTTAATTCCATTTCTTGTAATATTCACAGAGGAACACAAGGGATAATGCAGAAGAATATGTTACTTACACAGCAGCACTGCTTACAGTAGCCAAAAAAAAATTCCCAGAAATACCTAAATTCTACTAATAGATAGATGATTCAATAAACTACGGTATACACATACTACGGAATACTTTGCAGTTATCAAAAAGTTCTATATTATAGATCAACATGTACTAACATGAAAAGATCTCGAAAACACACTGCTGAATAAGAGCAGATTAAGAATACAGAATAATACCATTTATTACTAAAACACACATATGCAAATATACATTACACCCTTTACATTTCTAAGAATGATACTGATTATAAATAAAAGCATAAAAAGGGTTAGAAAGGTACACATCACTGATAGCAGTGAAGAGGTCTACAATTGGAGCTGGTGATGAAGGCAGTCTTCATCTGAAGGTTAAACTTTGCATTCATGTACCATTTGATCAGATATAAGTAGAGGACTAAAACCTGTAACTAGGACTAAAACCATAAGTAGTGGACTAACACCTGTAAACTCAAAGAGGTGCAAGATTAAGACCACGCAGTAGTTACAAGCCTTTGTTCCCAAAAGAGCTCTTGAGAAACTAAGTACAAGTCAAAATAAGTTTTAAGAGCAGGGGTAGGCCAATGCCATACACAAAAAACAAAATTAAAAATATATTTAAGAGGCAATTTAATCAAAAAGTTAGCAAAGGGGACAAAGTAAATATTAAAAAAAGTAAACGTGGAATTAAAATTAGATAGAAATATGCTAAATCTATTCAAGATATAAAACAAATATAGTATTAGAAATGAAAAAGGAGGCAATTGGAGATTTTTAAAAATCTCATGTGCACATTACTAAAACTACATATTTTTTAAAACTTGAAAAATGTAAGTGAAATGGATGATTTTTCTAGGAAAGTACAAGTTACCCAAATCGACTCAGAAAAATCTGAATATACAAAATAACTATAGTAAAAGGTTTACCTAAAAGATACTAGGCATAGCTGGTTTTAAACATGAGTTCTACCAAAGCTTCAATTCAAGAGTTAATTCCTAATATTTAAACTATTCCAGGGAACAGAAAAAGATGGAAAGCTTCTAAACTCATTTAAGGAGGCTGTGAAAGTTGTCAGAATCAAAATGGAGTCACTCGTGTAAAAAAAACTCCAAACCTGACAAATAAAGCTAGGAAGGCTATGAAAGAGTTTGCACACTTGTATGCCTGATAACAAAAACTATCACAAAAGACTCTGCAAAACCCACAACCTTACACAAAGGCCCTTTCAACCTTTACACTCACACACAAAAAATTTCTGCAAGGACATCTGCCAGCATATGTCTGCCCAACCTCGGACTGGCATCATCCTTGTTACTGTTCCTTGTAGCCAAGGATAATCATTTCAAAACAATTATGTAATTCTCCTCATTTCTCCTTTAAAAACTTTTGTCTTCCTTTACCTCCCCGAATATGCACATAGTTTTACTACAGCATATGTATGTATTCCCATTGCAATGCAATTATTCCCAAATAAACATAATTTTCTTTTAGAGAGCCTCTGTTATTTAGCTTCACAAGGCTAACAGAAGCCTACTGCCAAACCTGAACAAAGAAAAGGGGTGAGGGGAGAAAATTATAGACCACTGCAATGCAACAAAGTCAGCATCCCTTGCCCTCACCCGCTAAATGCCAAAAATGAGTCTGAGTCATTGTTATAAACAAAAATACTCTTATATTTCTAAACCTCCCAAAGGGAAAGGAGTAAGGCAAGGGCCAGAAGTATCACCCTTTACATGTGACAGCCACTGCTATAAAACAACCTTACTATAACCATGACTTAAGGAATCTGAAATAAAACATTACCAAATAAAATTCAGCAATATATTAAAAGGATGTTATCATCTGCCATGATGGAGTAACTCACACCAGTCATGCCCTCCCCTCAGAAACAACTAGAAAATGGGATAAAATATATAAAACAAATGTTTACGGACATTATCACTGAACTGTAATCACTGAGAGAAGGGAAACAAAGCTAACTCTACAACTGCTCAGCTTTCTGCCTACTGGCACTTTCAAATTGTGGCATAGGAAAAGCAATCCCAAGCAGAGCTCAGCAATCTTGCTGAGTTGAGGAGTCAGAGCTCAGTCTGTGAAGCCTAAAGGGGCTGGATGAGCAGGATAGTATATCAGAGAGGAGGAAGCTACACAGAAAAAGAGCTCCATAAATCTATGGGATACCCCGATTCTGCTGCTGTAGAGCTGTAAGATGAACAATTCCAAAGCTATCATGAGGTAGGGAGATACTCAAGTTCCAAGTAGCCTAAGCAGAGAGAACTGGCTGATTATCCAGGGCACTCAATAGAGACCCCAGCAAGGGTCACACTTACATTCTGAGTTTTATAAGATCAGGTACAAATGGTATAAAACTCAGAAACAAGCATCAAAAGGATCAAGCTGATCCACAAATAACTTAAGATGAAATTCAACACTCTGCCCATGTTGAATGCAGCATTATCCACAATAGCCAAGATATGGAAACAACCAAAGTGTCCATCAACTAAGGAATGGATGAAGAAAACACAATAAAATGCTATATACACACACACACACACACACACACACACACACACACAATAAAATACTATTCATCCTTCAAAAAGGTGGTGATTCTGTCACTTGCCACAACATGGATGAACCCAGAGAACATTATGCTAAGTGAAATAAGCCAGACACAGAAAGACAAATACTACATGATCTCACTTATAAGTAAAAACTGAAAAAGTAGAACACATAGAAGCAGACAGTGGAAGGACAGTTGCCAGGGGATGGAGGGTGGGGAAAATGGGGAGATGCTGGTCAAAGGGTATAAAGTTTCAGTTAACATAGGATGAGTAAGTTCTGGAGATCTAATGATTACTACTGTTAATAATAATGTATTAGATACTTGAAATTTGCAAACAGGGTAGATCTTAAATTTTCTCACTACCAAAAGAAGTTAACTATGTGAGGTGACAGGTGTGTTAATTAGCTTGATTGTGGTAATCACTTTCCAATGTATTATCTGCATTAAAACATCATGCTGTACACCTTAAATAAATACAATTTTTGTTATTTACACCTCAATAAAGTTGGCGGGGGGAGTGTTCTTACTTAGAAAGTATGAAGAAAACTTCTCACCCCTCTGGCCACGTTAAAAAAAAAAGAAAATATAAACAAAATTTCTGACTTTAAGAAGATGGAATCAACATATATCTGCCCTTTTCTCTCAGAAATCACCCTAAAAAAAGAATGAAAAAGATAAATACAAATGCCTTCTTCAAAGAAATTAAGAGACCTTGGTACCCTGAACCACCACCATAAATAAGGAAGGATTACCAAATGCAGTGAAAATCAAATAAAATATCTCAGATAAAACCAGCTGAAGACAGATCTTCAAAGCACATGGTACAACTAGAGGACTAAAACAAACAATCCTTTGCTTGAAACAATGAGAATCAGCCTCCCTGGACAGTATATGACACTACTACAAGGTAACAGACTGACAGTCCATCTTTTCAGACCCTCTTTTTTCTGCTTTAAAGAGCAATTATTTGTTACTTTAGAGGTGAATAACTCTAAATTGGAAGAAATATTGCTCCTCTCTGGATAGCTGCTCAGCTCTGCTGGCTGGCTACAGAGAAGTAAAAGCTAAAATGAACTCACCACAAAGATGAGTAATAATTAAAAAGGGGGCTTGCACTAACCAAGGGAAAAGACCTCTACAGGGAGAACTAGGAAACACTGAGAAAGGAAATCACAGAGGATGTAAACAAATGGAAAAGCACATCATGCTCATGGATTGGCAGAATCAACATTGTCAAAACGTCGATACTACCCAAAGTGATTTACAGATTCAATGCAATCCCCCCCATTAAAGTACCGATGCCATTTTTTGCAGATCTAGAAAAAATAATTGTATGCTTCATATGGAACCAGAAAAGACCTCCAATAGCCAAAGCAACCTTAAGCAAAAAGAACAAATCGGGAGGCATCACCTTACCAGACTTCAAACTGGTATACTACAAGGCTATAGTAACCAAAACAGCATGGTACTGGCACAAGAACAGAGACATAGACCAATGAATCAGAACAGAGAAACCAGATATAAAATCATCACCATATTGCCATCTGATCATTGACAAAGCACACAAAAACATACAATGGGGAAAAGAATCCCTATTCAATAAATGGTGCTGGGAAAACTACAGCCAGTCACATGTACAAGACTGAAACAGCACCTCTTACCACTCACAAAAATTAATTCATGATGGATAACAGACTTAAACCTAAGGCATGAAACTTTAAGAATTCTAGAAGAAGTTGGATAAAATCTTATAGATATCGACCTAGGCAAAGAATGTATGAAGAAGACCTCAAAGGCAATCATAGCAACAACGAAAATAAATGGGACCTGATTAAATTAAAAAGCTTCTGCACAGCCAGGGAAACAAGCAATAGAGTGAATAGACAACTTACAGAATGGGATAAAATATCTGCATGCTATACATGTGATAAAGGGCTAATAACCAGAATCTACAAAGAACTCAAGCAAATCAGCAAGAAAATATCAAACAACCTATTGAAAAGTGGGCAAAAGACATGAACAGAAGCTTTTCAAAAGAACATAAACTAATGGCCAATAAACATATGAAAAAATGCTCAATATCTCCAGTCATCAGAGAAATGCAAATCAAAACCACAATGAGATATCACACAAGTTCAGTGAGAATGGCTCTTATCAAAAAGTCCCAAAACAACAAATGTTGGCATGGATGAGAAGAGAAAGGAACACTTATTTATACACTGCTGGTAGAACTGCAAACTGGTACAACCTCTATGGAAAGTAGTAAGGAGAAACTCAAAGAACTAAAAGCAAGACCAACCATTTGATCCAGCAATTCCACTACTGGGTATTTACCCAAAGGAAAAAAAGGCATTTTATAAAAAAAGACACTTGCACTCAAGTGTCTGTAGCAGCACAATTCACAATCGTAAAGATGTGGAAAACAGCCCAAGTGCCCATCAATACATGAGTGGATTAATAAAATGTAGTATATGCATACCATGGAGTATTACTCAACCATAAAAAAAATGGTGAACTAATAATAATACTTTTGTAACAACCTGAATGGAATTGGAGGCCATCCCCCTAAGCGAAGTATGGCAAGAATGGAAAAACAAACACCACATATTCTCACTATTAAATTGGAAGTAAATGATTAACACTCATGTACATACACTAGTAAAATTCAACAGAAATCAAGCAGGTCGGGTGGGAAGGAGGATGGGTAAATTCACACCTAAGTGGTACGCTGCAAACTATTTGGGTGATGGACACACTTAAACTTTGACTCAAACTGTACAAAAGTAATTCATGTAACCAAAATGTTTCTACCCCTGTAATATACTGAAATAAAAATTAAAAAAAAAAAATAAGGCAGTAATCTGCCAGAAAAGAACATTCACCCAAGAAATTCTGCTATGGAGCAGATGAAAACTGCAATAAAACAAAGATACATAGTATCACAAATTCCAAAGACTTAAGAAAATAATTTTTCTTTACAAGAAAGCCAAAAGTAGAAAAAAAGATATAAAAAAGAATACAGACACATAAGCTGCAACAGATCCAAAAATAGTTTGGCATTATCTAGTAAATTTGAAATACATATCCTATGACCAGGCAATTCTACCACAGACATACAACTTCAGAAATGTGTGCATGTGTCCCAGTTGAAATATACAAGAATGTTCATGGCAACAATGTTCTTAATAGCCCCCAAATGAAAACAAACCAAATGTCTGCCAAGAAGATAATGATGAATTATTAAATATTCATATAATGGAATACTATAAAGCAATGAAAATAAAAATTACAGGTACCTGCAGCATTATGAATAAATCTTAAAAACATAATGTTGAATAAGAGCTGGGTACAAAAAAAATACTTAATGGATGATTCCATCATATTAAGTTCAAAAACAGATAAAGCTAAACTGTTTATTGGGGAAAAAATAAAATAAATAAACTACTGCAATGAAAGCAAAAATACACAAATAATAATAATAATGGGAAAAATTTCAGACAAAAAGGAAAATTTTTTTAATTATAAGAGGTAAGTTTGCTAAACTCTGCAAATAAATCTGCAAATCTGGATGACATAGATAACTTTTATAGGAGAATATTAAATACCAAAACTGACCTCAGAAGACATACATAATCTAGATGCACTTATTACAGAAGATTTATACAAACCTGTAAAAAAACTATCATATAGAAACTTATCTAGTTCATGTGGTATTTCTTTTGTAAAGATTTGTCTGATGCTACTAAATCAATTTTCTCCTTTGTGCACTACCATACCCTACATAGGCGGTCCCTGACTTATGGCAGTTCAGCTTACAATTTTGACTTTACAATGGTTTTATATGTACACAAGGGATAACAAGGTTTCAGAAGTGCATAATCCTGAATGATCCATAACTGACAATGCTTAAGAAAACAACACTCTCCTACCCCACCCCTCTGCCTCCACACCCCAGAACTGACCAGAATTTATCTCCCTTAATGTTACCACAAGTCTGTCGTTCCTTCTTTTTCTAGAGTCTAAAAGTCAGAGCTTTATGAATGAAGAGAAAAAAAAGGAAATTAAGTAGGCAGACAGGAATTGTAGACAAATTACTACCACCACCAGGTAGAACACAGAACTCAAATTCTCATGAAAACTGTTATAAAATAGTTACTAGGTCTTTGGAAAATCATTTATCTTCTCTGAGTTTGGCTTCCTATAAAAATTTGGATCATACCAGCTCTACAACCCCTTCCAGCAATAAAATCTGATGATAGGTTAAATAAGTTTTTAACTCAGTGGACCTAGAAATCAAATCATCATGGGAAAAATATTTCCAGAGTTTTATGAACCCAAACTATTTACAAGTAGGTGGGACCTATTTGAACATTTAATCTCTATTTAAGGAAAATTAGGACTTAGTCACGAGACAGTTTATGTTCCATAACTCTGCTTATTTTCTGAAAAGCTGCTTCAAGTAATTAAAAACAAACAAACAAACAAACAAACAAACAAAAGCAGCAAATAGTAATACTTACCTTTGCATCATCTATGTCAAAAACATCACACCAAGGAGATTTAATATCTTTAATTGCCAAGTCAAATGAACAGGTGAAAAAAGCTACCTGAATTAAATCTGGAAAAAAAGAAAAGGTAAAACTTTGTGGGTCATTATTTTCTGCAATTTCTCAAAGGCTAAATAAATATCTGTAGAAAGCCATGTGTGGCACAGCTTAAGAAACTTGGATATGTTTGGTTTGGCGAAAACAATAGTTTCTTCCTAGCTATCAAAGAATTAAGACTTGCTCTGTACAATCTAAAAGAGCAGAACCACAACTATCAGGAAGAAACCATGAGGAGGTGTAGATTTCAGTACAATAAAATTAAGAAACTCTGTAAATGGCAACTTTTTTCTGCTTTTAAAAGTAATTATTTGTTAAGAGTACATTTGCCTAGCAAACCCAATAAAAAGTTTAACTCAAGGACTTGCTATATAAAACATAACTTGATTATTAATTTTAGAGGGTTGGAGGAAGGGAGCTAGTTATAAAGGTTTTAGACCTAATATGAAAATTAAGAATAACAAGGTACATTCATTGAACAGTTATTTAAACTATACAATTTATAACTAACAAGCAATAGCAAGTACAGAGAGGAAGATATAAAAGGGGAGAGAAGACTGTAGAAGATAGAGAAGGAAGAAAGAGCAGAGTAACTCAGGGGAAGGAGAAAGGTGAAACAGCCAAGGAAATGAACAAAGAGGAAAAAAATCACATACTAATGAAGAAAAGAAAAGTTGGTGACAATATTTGTTTTTCAAATTTAGCTGCTCAAGTGATTTAAGAAGTGGACTTCAGAACAGGTTATTTGAGATTTTTATGCTGCTAATTCACTGATTGCATTACTTTTAGATACACAGGGGCATTGAGGAGAAGGAATAAGGGAATGAGTACTTGGGCTACAAAAGGTAGTCTTCATCAGTAGCAAATAAAAATACTGCTGTTCTCTAGTCAATGGAAAGTATGTGATATTTAATATGTATATGTGTGTGAGAGAGAGAGAGGAGAAAGGGGGAGAGGGAGAGAGGAAGGGGGGGAAGAGGGGGAGAGAGGGGGAGGGAGGAAGATGGTGGAGGGAGGGGGAGGGAGGGAGAGAGGGAGAGGGAACGGGGGTGGGTAGAGATCGATCAACTGCAGGAGTTGCCTCCATTGCTTTGATTTTTCTTTACCTTATTGCCTTCCCTCTTTCCAAAATGAAAATGGGACCAAAATTTACTTCATGTTACATGCATTTCACACTAATTCTGAGTTTAAAGAATTCCCCTAAGGCAGCACATAGTACAAAAATATATCTCATTGGGAATACACGTAAAAGTCATTCAAAAACTTTATTTATGTACAGAAGAGCTTTTATAATCCCAATACCTAATATAATGTAGTGGCTTGTAAGTATTATGTATGTTTGATGAAAGGACCTGGCTTATTTACACTCAAAGTTCTAATTCAGAAACTATGAAACTCAGCCCAAATGCTGTATTCTTTAAGTTGAAAGGAGCTTTCTGGAAAAAAAAAAAAAAATTCACCAAAAAACTCTTTGAAGTATACCAAGAAAAAGCATGAGGCAAAGCCTGAGGCTAAGAGACCTGACTCTGCCACTAATAATCCTGGGCAAGGCCCTCTAGACTCTCTAGGTCTCAATTTCCCTGCCTACAAAACAAGGAGGTTAGGGCCAGGCACAGTGGTTCACGCCTATAATTCCAGCACTTTGGGAGGATGAGGTGGGAGGATCATCACTTGAGGCTAAGAGTTCAAGGCCAGCTTGGGCAACACAGCAAGACCACATTTCTACAAAAAATAAAAATGCTAGCTGGGTACGGTGCAGTACGCCTGTAATCCTAGGTACTCAGGAAGCTGAAGTGGGAGGATCACTTGAGTCTAAGAGTTCAAGGTTACAGTGAGCAATGATGGGGCCACTGCACTCCAGTCTGGGTGACAGAGTGAGATGCTGTACCTTCCAAAAAAAAAAAAAAAAAAGTAAGGAGGTTAGACATATCATCTCTGATCCATCTATTATAACCCTTCTGACTTTTGGTCAATCTTCTTTGGAACCTCAAAAATATTTCAAGTGGGCCAGGCGCGGTGGCTCACACCTGTAATCCTAGCACTCTGTGAGGCCGAGGCGGGCGGATCATTTGAGCTCAGGAGTTCGAGACCAGCCTGAGCAAGAGCAAGACCCCGTGTCTACCAAAAATAGAAAGAAATTAACTGGACAGCTAAAAATATATATAGAAAAAATTAGCCGGGCATGGTGGCACATGCCTGTAGTCCCAGCTACTCGGGAGGCTGAGGCAGGAGGATCGCTTGGCAGGAGTCTGAGGTTGCTGTGAGCTAGGCTGACACCACGGCACTCTAGCCTGGGCAACACAGTGAGACTCAAGTGGATCAGAGATTTAAACATGAAAAAAAGAAAATAAAACAATAGGAAAATATAATAATCTAGGGGTAAGAGGGGATTCCTAGGCAAAATGCAACTCACAGAAGCCATAATGAAGACAGAGATATGGCTATTTAAAAGATGTAAACTTCTGTACCATAAACCTAAAAGATAAGCAACAAGAGGCAGAATTCACAGATATATTTAATATAGCCACAATAAAGGGTAACTATGATCAATAAGAAAAACAAAAATAACCAACAGAAAACGGACAAGGTTATAGAGGCAACTCTCAGAAGATATGCAAATGTCTAACACATAAAAAGATGTTCACTTCAAAAGTAATCAAAGAAATGCAAATTAAAGCCAGATATCATTTTTTTTTTTTTTTTTTGATATGGAGTCTCACTCTGTCACCTGAGCTAGAGTGCCGTGGCATCAGCCTAGCTCACAGCAACCTCAAACTCCTGGGCTCAAGCAAGTCTCCTGCTTCAGCCTCCTGAGTAGCTAGGATTACAGGCACACACCATGACACCCAGCTAATTTTTCTATTTTTAGTAGAAATGGGGTCTCACTCTTGCTCAGGTTGGTCTTGAACTCCTAACCTCAAGCGATCCTCCCACTTCAGCCTCCCGGAATGCTGAGATTACAGGTGTGAGCCACCACGCCACATCTGGCCATGATATCATTTTTCACTAATCAAATTGGCAAAGATTAAAATGACTAATAATATCCAGTGTTGGATGATATATGGGCAAATGAACATTCTCATATAATGTCAATATAATTGTTCTCTATATCTTAGACAACAATTTGGAAATATATGTCAAGATGTAAAATCATCATGCTTGTTAACCCAGCAATTCACCTAGTTTCACCTATCTTATAAACTTTCAAGTGCAAAAAACAGACTAAAAGAATTAAAAACCAAGAAAAATTTCAATGGGAAAATGGTCTCCTATAAAAAGAATTTACACTGTATTAGCTATAGCCTTTTATAGCAGTAAAATAAATTCAATGATGGGTTAAATAAGTTTTAACTAGCATTGACCTAGAAATCAAATCATGTATCATATGAAATAACACAGAATTTAAAAGAATGAGACAGATCTGTATGTAAGGCAGCTATATTGTTCAGTAAAAATAAATTACAAAAGATACACATAGCCTCACCTTCTACTTTCAAAAAAAAAGGTATTTAAATAGCAAAAGTATATACCAAGCAGTTATTGTGCCACTGTAGTAAATGCTATGTATGAACTAGTCTCATATAATCTTTGCAATAATCCTGAGGCCAGGTATAATTCCTGTACCCATTTTACAGAGAGGGAAACTGTGGCACAAATCAGTTATTCAATAGGATAATAGAGTCAAGATTCAAATACAAAGGGTCCAATTCCAGAATCCATGTTTTTATGCTATGTTTAGCATAGCATAAAATGTTTATATTGCCTCCAAAAAGAAGTTGCTCTCACTGGGAGGCTGAGGGAGGAGGATCGCTTGAGCTCAGGAGTTTGAGACCAGTCTGACCAACAGCGAGACCCCATCTCTACAAAAAATAAAAAAATTAGCTGGGCGTGGTGGTGAGTCCCTATAGGGGACTACTAGGTCCCAGCTACTAGGGAGGCTGAGGCAGAAGGATTGCCTGAGCCCAGAAGTCTGAGGTTGCAGTGAGCTACAATGATGATACCACACTCCGGTTGGGGCAACAGAGCCTCAAAAAAAAAAAAAAAGTTGCTCTCAGTTACCCCATTAGTAAAACACAAACAATCTTTAACCATTCAGAGATCAAAAACAGTTCTTAAAAATCCTTCTTCAACAACCTAAATGCCCACCAACAGAATAATATCATAGTTATACAATATATAAGTTTAAAATGTAGGACTAGAATTATAAACATTAAATCAAAAATGCAAAGTTGCATAAAATCTAAGTTCAGACTGACATACACTTTAATATTCTTAAAAGCTTAAAAATCTGCAAAACAATATCCCATTTGTGTATAAAAATTGGCAAGGGATGATTTAAATGCTCAATTTATGACAATGGTTAACTCTGGTGAGAAAAAGGGAAAAATAAGATCCAGGAATAGGACCAACAGACCTCAATTTATCTAAAGCAACTAAGTGAAACATAATATTAAAATTTGGTAAAGTCACATTGTGGGTATACGGATGTTCATTATATTTGCTTTTACTCTTATCTACATGTTTAAATTATTTCCCAATTAAATAAATAATTTTTAATGCTCCATAGGTGACTCCAATGTATAGCCAGTTTATGAAGAAAAAAAGATTCAATTTCAAATGCTAGTCTAAGTTTGTTTGTTTTTTGAACCTTAAAAAGCATCCAGGTTCCATGATTGATAGATTCTACTCTACTTTCACTTTTCCCCCCCAACATCTAGTTTCAGTCTTTTGGAAATTAATTCACAATATAATGAAATCCACAATCTTTGCATGTAGCTTTGTCAACATCTGCCCTATGGATTACAAATTCATAGAAAACAGGAAAAAAAAATTTTATTTTCTTAATTCCCCATTGCTAGCTGACTATGTGCCCTGGTTTTCCACCTGTTTTCCCAGCATAATTACTAATAGTGTTCTCTGTTGGGCCAGTGGCTCACACCTGTAATTCCAGCAACTTGGGAGTCTAAGGTGGGAGGACTGCTTGAGGCCTGGAGTTTGAGACCAGCCTGAGCAACATATCAAGACCCCATCTCTACAAAAAATAAAATTACCCCAGTACTGTAGCATGTGCCTATAGTTCCAGCTACTCAGTAGGCTGAGGTAGGAAGATTGCACTCAAGCCCAGGAGTTTGAGGTTGTAGTGAGCTATGATGATGCCACTGAACTCTAGCTGGGGAAACAAAGGGAGACACTGTCTCTATAGATCAATCAACCAATAAAATTAAATTTAATTTAAAAAGTGTCCTCTTTCATACTCAAAAGCATCCCAGTTTAGATGATAAATTGATAAACTGCAGTTAACCCACCCACTGTAATACATTAAGACAGACATAAATGCTCATTTTCTCAGCCTCTCTACGTATAAAAGACTCAAAATTCATATTATTTTTTTTGACTTTGTAAAACTTATTCCCTTCACATTAATATGCACTTTTGAACTGCTTTAAAAGCTAAAGAATTTATATGATTCTCCCATTTGTATCACTTTATGAAGAGGAAATCCTGAAAAGATTTTTGTTTTATAAATAATGCTTAGAATTGAGGCTTTATATACTCTGCCTTATACACTATGCCAGAACATAGCAAGAATCTTGTACATTAATTTATATACCACTCAAGAATATGAATCTAAAAATTTAAAGCGTGAGGTATACAATTTTCTTGACTTAGAACATATTATTTTCTTAATGTAAATTCAATTGTGGGACTTTCAAAAGAAAAAATTGTTTTCCTTATTTTTTGTTTCCACAATTCAAAATTATTTAAACCAGAAGTTCAAATAAAAGTAACAAGTATATTACCTGCATTTAAATCATTTACTGGTACTTTCAAAGTAGCCGCAACTTTTTGTAAAATGTTCCGCATTTCTGGTCCAGTTTTGAAGGCTTCCACATGATAAAGAGCTGTAGCATTCCTTTCCACTTCAGCTAAAAACTTCTCACAGTGATCAAAGAATCTCATTAGTTTATCATTAATCTTTGGAGGGCCACACTCCATATCTGAAAAAAAAATTACATACATAAATCATTGACATAAATGACAATTTCAAATTATTGAAAATGTTTTAAGTGGGAAAAATGAACACTAACATTCTATTATCTCTATGTCTGAAATAAGCACGTACTGATCAGCAAAGACACGAGTAAAATTTTGTAATGATTGTAATGTGTGAGAGAATACGCTAGAAAAAACCAAAGAAACAAAGCACATCAAAAATAACGTGTTAGAGCGATACTACACAACAAAGGTAATTGAAATGAATGATTTCCTAAAGAAAACAAAAATTAGAACCAATAAGGAGACTTCTGAAGGAATGTCATAAAAAGTGAGCAACTATGCTACCTAAGTACTGTTTCTATCAGGCACAGAAAACTTTTGAAAGCAAGCTAAAAATAAGCAAAGTTTCCAATTACAGGGTGAGAGAGAATTCAACAGATTGAAATGTGTTTCCACTCTAAGCCAAAGTCTAAATAGAGTATTTTCTCAATTAACTTTCCCAACCCTGTGTTATTTTACAAAAGACCCTACTTTGGACAAAAACTACTGACAACAGCACAAAATGCATTAATGCTTCAGCTGTACTGTGCTTCATTGTGTTAGGTGCTTCTGATTTGGTTTATCTTGTGATAACTTTCCCTTTAGAATAAGTTACATTACTTTCCCAATCTGGCAACAAATATGTATTGGAAAAGCATTCATATTCATGCTTCAATTACTGGAGTGCCTTTTTTTCAGTCATATTCAAAATACACATCTCAATCATCATTTCCAATAATTTACAATGAAAAGAACACCAAGTGTATCATTTTTGTACACAAGAGAAAACTGAATATAGTTACACCATTTTACTTTGGATATGTGTGTGAAACAATACATATAAGTGTATCCCTTGAAATGGATAATTCTGCCCACTTTAATTGCAAATTGGATTACAGTTCTCAGCAAAATATCTTGACTAGAAAAATAAGAGAACTTTGTCATCTTTTTCTGTGCCCTCAAAATATGATTTCCCATGTGAATCTTGACATTTCATCCTTCTTACTACCTAATTATCGCTGTTTAAACAGAAACAAAGGCATTGTTCTGTTTCTACAAAAATACAAAATTTAATTCAGTAGATGCTCTCAAAAGACCAGATGTACATAACCAGCAAAACAATTGTCTACGTATAATAAGAGGCGAGGAAAAGGGTTTAATCTCTGAGACTGAAAATGGTGAGAGGTGGGCTTATTCTGAACCACAGTATTTGATCCCTGCCTTTTTATTCTGAGACAAATGCCAATATTCACAATGCCATCTGAAGACAAAAATTCATTCATTCCAGGAGGTCACTACATATACATTATGCTATGTTAAAGTATGTTCTACTTTCAAGATTCAGTTAATTTAACAGATTTATGGGGAATTTTCACCCATGTTAATGAAAAAAGTATAGCTATAATCAAAAAGCACAATTCCACAAGTAACTAAACACAAGTCAGCCAAACAAGTTACCCACAATAACATGACCAAAGTCAGTGGAGAAATTCCTTGCAGATGGTTTAACTGTTCAACTGCTACAGGAGAAAGGACAAACCAGTCTACTTCTAATTTGTTTTTCACTTGGGCTTTGAAGCTAAATGATGTTCCACATTTCAGGTCTGACCTTAAGCGTGATCAAGAAACTATTAACACCTGTTCATCTCTGTGGCACAAAAATATTACGTTTTTATTCTTAACAGTATGTTACTGGACAAATGTTAGCTGTATGGTATAATGTTCAAGAGTAAGCTCTGAATCAGATTTCCTGGGTCCATAACTACCGTGTGAAAATGGGAAAATTATTTAGTGTTTTCATGTCGCAATTTCCTCATCTGAGAGACAGAAGGAAAATACTAACAACTCAGAGAGTGGTTGTAAGGATTTAGTAAAATAAATTTGAGGCATGTCTGGCACATAATAGGCATTAAGTGTTTGCTATCATTATCTGTGACATTAAAACATTTTCTAAAGGAAAATCCATTTTGGGAAAACAGAAGACCTGGATTCTGGGCCTTACTCTAGTTTTCAAACTAGAGAAAGGCAATTAAGGAGACATACTCTTGGGCTCAGCTTCTTCACCTGTGAAATAAAAGGGCCTGACTAGATGACCTCTCAAATTTTGAAAACGTGTAATTAAGGGAATAAATGAGTAAGGTATTATGTGTGACCATGAACCACAGCTATAATGAGGGGAACGCTATAGTAAATTACAAGAACAAAACAAGAAAAAAAGCAGGGCATACAGAAGACTTCAGAGCAGCTTTCTAAAACAGGGTGTAGGTCCAGAACCGTCTCCTGAAAAGGTTGATAAATTAAAAAAAAACCCCAACTAGTACCAGAAGCAAAGCCTGAGAAAGAAAGTTCTAGATTCCATTTTTTAAAAAGTGCGCCCAATTGTACAGCTAGCTGTCAGGGAAGGGGGATGGGATGGGTTGGCACTCAAAGGCAATTCAATTTAGAAATGTTAGATCAAAAAGTGCGGGAAAGACCTCGTCTGTCTTCTTTCTGTTGGACCCCCAATGTGTACTACAACATGCAGTATGTAGAAGGTGCTCAATTTATACCTGATGAATGAATAAATGAACCTATGTATGTGGGAAGAGAAAGAGCCAGGTCCGGAAGATCGCGTGCCCAGGCAGGACGCAGCCTGCGGGATGAAGGATTAGGAACAGAGGAAAAGTGAGAAGCTGGGGTGGGGGAAATCCAGGGTCTGGGAGAGGCGGGGGAGGATTTAGGGAAGGGAGGAGAACCGAGGCAGGGCACTGGCCCGGCGGCCTGGACCGTCACCTTCGACGTCGGGCGGCGGCAACCCAGGGTGGTAGTGCTGCCACAGCCCCTGCAGGAAGGCAGCGCCGCTATCCACGCAGCGGTGCTTGGAGCTAGTGATGAGCTGCAGGCGGCCATAGTTCTCCTGGCTGAAGAGGGTTGGGAAGAGCGAGGCCAGACGCAAAGCCAGCTGTCGCATATCCTGCCGTCCCTTCTCCACTAGTTGCCCGTCCATCCAGTCCGCGTACCACAAAGGCCAGTCGGCCAGCGCGGCACCCAGGTCGCGGCTGCCGGCACTACCAACCGCGTCATCCCCGGGCCCGCGAGCCTGCAGCAGCCCATGCAACTGCCTCAGCTTTCGGATCTGTTTGGCCGTAGGGTAGCGGGTGCCGTGGCGAATGAGGGCGACCAGCTGCACCGGGGTGCAGGCCCCCTCCAGCAGCTCCGGGTCCCGCCACGGAGCCTCCCGGCCCGACAGTAGTCCGGGGTTGACATCCTCATAGCGAGTCTTGGTGCCGAAGTAGGGGCTGAGCACCGTGGCCACTGGGTCCCTCGGCTCTAGGAGAGAGCAGCGCACAAGCGACGATAGCAGCGCCGCAGCCAGGGCCGCGGCGGGTGGTACGGAGGCCCAGAGGAGGTGGCGGGGTCCGCGGAGCATGGTGGGCTTCGGCCCGCGGAGGGCGACACGCCAGCTGCTGACGCCCTACTTCCGGGTCCGGGGACAGGGGGCGGGCCCGAAAGGAGCTTCCGGCCGATGTTGAGGGGTGAGCCGTACCTCGTCTGCGCAGAGAGGGGAGCAGTCGTGGCGGCTGGCTAAGGCTCGCGAGTGCTGGCAGAAAGCTTCGAGGATCCTTGTGGACCTGTGGCTCAAGTGGAGCGGGTGGAAAACCCTGAGGAGGTTGGGACAGCCACGGCTTAGGTGGAGCCGGCGTCGGCTGGCTCGGAGCGTGGGCGAGTTTCCTCTTAGCCGGTGCCTCAGGGATTGACGCGAAGACTCCCCGTTTTTATTGGTTGTCTTGGGTGTGAATGAATCCCAGGCTAAGCCATAGCCTCCCAGCCTGCCAAAACAGAACTTGTTTTAACACATGACTCTCTTATCACCACCTTTACTCCGTTCTATTGTGTTTTTCAGAGCGTAGTCTCTGAACATCTGCTTAAAATCCACCTGAGACGGTGGTTGAAAATCCAAATCGCTGGGCCTTGGTACAAGACGCCTCTTGAAGCGGTTATTTTTTCCTTTTAGAGCTAGAAAATAAGCAGTATACAACAAAGAAAGGAACCTGAAAAGAAGGTTAGTTCTGCAGGCATTTAAGTTCTGAGTCTTTGGTACAGTCTTGACCTGTACTACGAGAACTAACAGCGGCATCAGTGGGACAGCACACTAAATGTTCTGTGTTTGTTGATTCCAAAGACTTAGAGAGTAGAGACATAGGAATCTTGATAACTTGGGCGTATTGGGTCCTGGCCCAACAGATTTACTCCGTTATTAAGTATGAACTGATCTGTTTTGGAAGCAAACATGCTATTTACCACCACTGCAGGTCAATATTCTCTCATGTGCTTACTTACTCAAATCAGCTGCTGGGTTTTTTGTAGGTGTTAAGGGAAATGCGAAATGCAATGCGAATGCGTGACTGAGGCAAAGACAATCAATGGAGGTTTATTAAGCCAGACAAACGAATCATTTATCCATTTCCTTAAAGGGGGGAGGGCCTGTAGGAAGAGGGACAGGTAGGTGTTAAGACTAATGATTACATTTTGGTGAGAGACTTAAGTTAATGCCCAGTGAATCTGCATTTTACATAAGATAAGGTGATTGATTGTAGTAAAGGAAGAGTCAATTATGTCTCTGGGATCTCATCTTACCTTTGTTCTCCACCTGGGAATATAAGCTTGTACTATTATCAATGTGGAATTGAATAGGTTTTAGTTTTAGGAGCTAGACTTAGGTTACAATTGGCATATACTTGTTTGTGGGAGACTATACATCTTGGAAGGTTTGGAGGCCAGCAAAGAATTTACTTATGAATGATTTGTGAGGGCAGCCATCCAGAGATGCCTGAAACTTTTTGCCTTTGGGGTTTGGTTTTGGCACAAAGTTGTAAAGTAGCAGCTGTTCATTTGGAAGAGGGTGTTGCATGACCGCTGGGGCTTCCAGGCTTAACTTTCCGTTTGGCATAAGGAGTTTGGGGTCCTGAGATTTTTTATTTTCCTTTACATAGGTTATCTCTCAGAATCTTTGCCTGACCCCAAAAATCATCAATCTGAATAATATCCTGGTATTTTCACTTGAACTTCAGTTTATATGCCAGTTGAGAAAAGTATTACAGAAGTCATAAGGTAATCCAAATTCAGAAATTTGGATAGTGTTTCTAACTGTAGCTTTCCCTTCAAAGACATTATTGCCTTGCTCTTGGTAAGTCCATCACCATCTTTACTCCTTTTGTCTTTGGTTAAGTGTCTATCTCGTTCAGAGAGGCGTGCCTCTAATGTTAACCAAGAAGAGAAGGATGTAAAATCAAGAATAGATTCCAGCCCAAATTTTGAAAAATTTGAGATGTTCTGTGCAGGAAGGTAGCAACGGGAGCTGTGAGCTGGCTGTTTCCTTAATGCTGAATGGGTGTGGACGAAGGAAAGTGGAGACCTACCTGACGGAAAGCCGTCTGGTCAGCAGCCTGAGAAGTTGAAGTAAACAGCCATGTCTCCAGTGACTGCAGTCATGTAGGAGGCCTGGGAATGTTCTTTGAACAGAGCATTCTCAAAATATAGAGATTGGGGAGTAAATGGCCATCTCTTTCCTGCCCTTGAGTTCTCTCGTTCCCTCTTGAGTTACACTAATAAAAGCAATGTGTGCACCAAGGATGGGGCTCTTTGCTCTTGGAAGCATCGAGTCCCCCATGCCCACTTATCCTGATAATTGGCTATTTTGTCTTCATTTCTGCAGAACTGCTTGGTTTGGGATTGCCTGTGCTGAGCTGGACTCAGCAGGAAACCATCTTTAGGGCAATAGACATTCTTTTTGATATGCCTTTTGTAAAATGTCAATGCCTAAATATCCATGGCCAGTGATTTTTTTTTTTTTTTGGCTGAACTTTGCTCAAATTAGTATTTAGTGAATATCCACCCCCCCCCCTTTTTTAAACTCTAATCCTTTGACAGATTACGCCCCTTTAATAGACTTGTGTCAGGTGCATCTTACTATATTTTGCTTAATATATGTGCTTAATAATCATCACCTCTCATGCCCAATCTTTCGAGTTCCCAGGAGTATCAAGTCTTCCCAAAGGCATCATTTACTTCTTCCTAATGAAGCAATCTTTAGAGACCCTACTCTAACTACTTACAAAACCCATGGCACACATTTTATACACTGAATTTGCCCCAGCTTGATTTTATTTCCTTTTCCCAATTTCTCATCTGTTAATTTTATGCTGTTTTATATGTTTACATTAATCAACTGCAATTTTGTTGATGTCATGTCAAGATGACAATGATAAAAAGTAAAAGTAAGCAATGCCTTCATGTTTTTGACTACAAAAAAGCCAGATATAGTATAAAGAGGACAAAGAGTAGATAAACTTTGGATCCAGATTCTAAGCTCTGCCGCTTATTAATGAAGTAAACTTGGGAAGTTACCCAAGTTCTCTGAGCCTTAGTTTCCTTACCTGAAAATTAGTAATATTAGAATCTACATTGTGGGATTATCATGACAGTCAGACATGATATATTTAAAATCCCTGTAATAGGCTGCTATAAATGGTATTTTTATCATTAATAATGTTCAATGTTATTATTATACCTGCACTAAGATGCTTATCTTTCTGGCAATTGTGTGGATTACACTTATTTCCATTGAACGTTGAAGTGAATGACTTTCACAGGCAAGACATGCATCAAAGATCATTTTATAACTTTCTTAATGATAAAAATCCACTCATCTCACTTAAAATGGGTGTCTCATTCTTAGAGCAGTGGGCAGCCTTTGAAAAGTTTTAAGAAAGTCCTGCTCATGTTTTCATGTCAGACCATGTCTTAATTCTCTAGGCAGTCTGTAAATTGGCTGCCCTTTGAGATGCCACAATGTTAAGGACATGGTCTCTAAAGTTTAGACTTTCTGGTTTTCAAATTCCAGTTTTATAACTTATTATCTGTGAGATCTTGAGTAAGTTAAACTCTTTTGCCAATTGGGTAATACAGAGGAGTTTGCATGGTACAAAATATGGCTGCCCCTTTGCAGAGATCGTGGGTGAATCACCTTCCCTCATAAGAAGTTGTGGGCATGTGAGCAATTATTTGGCAAAATCTACCGCAACATAAGAGATAGGAAAGAAAATTAATAGTTCAGTTTCCTTTAAGAGATGAGAGAAGATGGAACGAAGAGCACAGATAGAGAATTTGGTTTGGACCAGAGGAAAGGAAACTTTACCTTCTGAGGAAATATTGAAAGGATGGGTGAACATTTGGATAAAATTGTAGGTCTGGCAGGAGGGAGTTCATGGAATTCAAGCCCGATGGCTTTGGCTTCCTCAGTGACATAGGAGACAAGATTGTCTGAAGAGATGAGGGAATGGAAATTAAGTCCTGGAATGTGGAAATGGTTTGGATTTGCAACTGAGAGAAATGGGAAAGTAATGGAAAGGGATGTACAACTAAAAGGAATGGGGGGGAAAAAAGTAAAAGTATGTATGATCAGCTCTGAGGATCCAAATGAGAATGAAAGACTTGAGTTGTTAGAGGCTGTGCAATTTTATCCAAAAGTGAACATTATCTGTTGTGTTTTTCAGAGTGGAAAAGAAAAAAGTTTAACTTGATTGTTCTGTATTATTCTAATATGTCTTAAGTAAAACCTTCTAATCAAACCGCTATACTAAAGAATAGGCTAGAAGCTAGAAGGAGTTTGAGGCTGCAGTGAGCTATCATAGTGCCACTGCTCTCTAGCCAGGACAACAGAGCAAGACCCCATCTCTAAAAAAAAAAAAAAACCGAGAAGGTGAAGAATAGGCTAGGCTAGATTATTGTCAGATTATTCATAGGGCTTCAAAAATAGTCATTCTACTCTTAAGACTGCATAGTGTCATATATAGTATTTTAAGTCATAGCCATCTACTAGTAACTTAAAATACTATATATGTATATAATATATAATATATGTATATATATATATAATATTAAAGTATAGTCATCTATATACTTTTAGTGGCATCTTCTTTTAATTAAAGAATATGGTTTTCTGGTAAAGAAACAATGAAGAAAAGGAAAAGGCTAAATTCTGTGGGGAAAAGGCTAGGCTATCTATGTAAGCATATACAATATTGATTAAGAACATGGTCTCTAAAGTACAGACTTTCTCATTTTCAAGTTCCAGTTTTATTACTTATTATCTGTGAGATCTTGAGCAAGTTAAACTCTTTTGCCTCAATTTTTTTTCATCTTTAAAGTGGGGATAATAATACCTAGGCATGAGATTGTTGAGAGGATTAAATTAAACAGTTTATATAAAGACTTTATTTAGTTCTGGGCCCCAAATAAATATCAATTACTTTTATTAAGCAGAATTAAAATGTTCTATATTATTGCTTTTTCCTTAATCAAACAAACTAACAAATGGTCAGTTTTTCATAGATTTTTATTATCTCACAATTACATTAAGCAACTAACTTTGTGCCTGTGTCAAGAAAGTTTTAGCTCTACTATCTTTCTGCCCTGCTGTTGCATCATTCCTCTTTTAACAGTTGCCAGTTGGTGCTT